TTAGTATATTAGTTTCTGATTATTTTTTATTTTACTTTTGACTTATTTTGACTTTTTGACATCTTTGACCTTTTGACTTTTAACCGATTTTGACCTTGACCAATTACCTCAAATTGTGGTCCATGAATGGCCGCCAAACACCTAGGTGGCAGGCGCCAATTAATCAGCCATCTGGCCGATTTTTACAACAATGCTTCAAATAATGATTTAGCAAATAGGTTCTTCATTGACACATATACAAGATGGAATTTGACGCAGGATTGTTGCAAAAAGAATGAAAATAAGTAGAAAGAATTGAAATTAGGGTTCAGATCTAAGAGTTGTATTGAATGATTAGGGGTTACCCCTTTCAAGAGGAGGAAAGCTCTCCCAAGTCTTTTCACATCAAAACATAACAGAATGAATCCAAACTGAACCCTTCTCCTTTCTTTTATTCGTCACTAACTACCTTAACCCCTTGCTAAATGACTGTTATACCCCTTGCTCATCTCTTCTAACATATGTGAACTTAATCTGTGCTATTTTGGATGTTTTTTATTCTGCCACTTGGGGGGTGAAAGTTTAACTTCCTAAACGAATTTATAGAACAAAAGTTTTGTTGGATGGAAAGTTTCAAGATCCTAATGAAGATGAGTTTGTTCATCTATCTCACTTCAAATCCTAATATATGAATCCTTGTTTAAAGCATTATCAACTGAAATAGTATAACATCAATCAATCAATCAACATGAATCAAATGCTTTAATATCAATTGCACTAACTAAAAAAACTTAAATAGCTGCGTATATTCATACGACAAGCATAAACAGAATCATGAAACCAAAAAGAATTACAATTACAGAACTACCCTTCAATGTCAACCACAGGCTTGTTGTTACTATTCCCAATCAAGTGATGAAGAAGCACACCAGCAGCAACACTAACATTCAAACTCTCAACAGCAACAAAAGATTCAACATCTTCAAATCCACCACTCAAATGAACCGGAATATTCCCAGGAATCTTAACCAACTGAGTACACGACCTCTCAACCAACGGTCTCAAACCCGTGCCCTCACTCCCCAAAACCAGAACCGTTGGCTCACCGGTTCGAACCTCGGTCAAACCCACGGCTCGTGAACTCACCGAACCACCAACAACCCTCCAACCATTTTCAGCTGAAGAAACCAAAAACTGCATCATATTCTTACAACTCCTAAGTTCAATCAACTCAAGCGATCCAGCACTCGCTTTACTTACAACCCCACTAAGTGGTGCAGAATTTTTTGCACAAAGTACAACCCCTGATGCACCAAAGAAATACGCTGAACGAATTATGGCACCCAAATTTTGTGGGTCCATAACTTCGTCCAGCGCTAACCATAGAGGGGACATGGCACCCAAGTTTTCCATGTCCCCTGCTATGCGGTCTAGTTCTCGGATATTCACCATTTCTAATGGTGAAGCGTCGAGAACTAGACCTTGATGTGGACGATTGTCCACAATCATGTTGAGATCATGTTTTGAGATTTCTTTTATTGTTAACCCTAGTTTATCGGCTACTTTTAAGACTTTTTCGAACCCTTTTTTGTCTTTTTTCTTTTTGTTGTTTCCGGTTAAATCGATGCCTTCTTGAACGTATAAAACGTAGAATTCTCTTCGGTTTGCTGATAGTGAAGCTAGTACGGGGCCCACTCCATAGACGCATTCACCAACCATGTTTGGTATGCTTGATTCAGTTGCTTCTTTCCATACCTTTTTTCCCCAATTATCTTGCCTACTCCACTTGTCATTTCGCTCCACATTAACCCTATCGAAGGATTCAAATCTTTCTTGAATCTTATACCAATTGGGATTATTATTATCAGCTTCTTGAGTTTCAAGATCAGAATCATCTTCAGAAATCCTTCCTCTTTCCCTATAATCGTTTCTTTCATCAAATCGTCTACCATTTTCCCTACTTTCATCAAATCGTTTACCATTTTCCCTACTTTCATTAAATCGTCTACCGTTTTCTCTACTTTCATTGCCCCTTTTCACGAATTTTTCAGCTGATTCCTCCCAAGAAGATCGCACTCGCGTGAACTTTCTTGTAGGTGATTCATCTTGTGATGTCTTGTTTCTTGGTTTAAAATCTTTTCTCCTGATCTTTTCCCTAGTCTGTGGGCCATTTTTGGAGAACTTTTCAGCTGAGATTTCCCAAGATGACCTCCGTGGAGCAGGTTTTTCAGAGTCTTGAACTTCCTTATCTTTATTTTTAGCTAACCAAGGAAGGGGATTTGGAGAATCAGTAGTACCTTCAACCACTTTACGAGAATAGGAAGTGGAAAATTTTCTAGGGTTTGAATGAAGCCCATTTGAAAAGGATTCTCTTTTTGCAGCATATACATGCTCTCTCTTCTTCCTAACGTGATGATTGAAACTAAGTAAACTATCTCTATCCACAGACCCTAATAACTGACAATACTCATGTGTTTTCTCCATAAACCCAACTGAGGGAGTTCTATAGCTCGTAATTCTGGACTTGTAGAAAACATTCGTTTCAGGATTTGAACTAGGAGAAAACTGGGTAGTTTTGGGTTTTATATAGAATGGGAGAAAACATTTTGGTTGTTGCGAAGAAGCTCTAATGGCGAAAGGAAAAGCATGGCATTTGGTAAAATTACAATACATGATGCCAGCAACAAAACAACTACAGTGTAAATGATTCGAAACTCGAAGAATTTAAAAGCTTTCTCTAACTTTCAACGGAAGAAGAAATTAACCTGCGTGAAGAAATACTATTGATCTCATCTAACTTACCAGCTCCATTTGCGAGGATTGGGGGTTTAATCTTCCATTATTGAGTCTTCCAAATGCTCACAAAGTACAGAGATAAGCCATGTTAGGGTTTTTGAGAAAGAGAGCAGGGCAATAGCATATAGGTTTGGATAAAATCAGTTGTAGTACCTAATAATTTGAGGAAAGTTCACTCAGGCGCTCCAGGTTCCCTAAAATTAATTCAATTGGTCCCTGAAAATTGCACTATGTATATTCATATCATTTTCTTTTTGAAAAATGAAAAAGACGTATAAATTTTCTACATAAAAAGTTATGTGACTATGTGCATATACAAAGCCACCTATTTATTGTAACACAAAATATATTATTTAAACCCACAAGGGTGATAAAGACATAAAGTCGTAATATATGGTTAACATCTTTTAGGTAAAATTTAAAGATTTTTGCAGATTCAACTATTTTCAGTTTTAACATTTACACGTCTGGTTGCCTGAAAAATTATTCACGACGGATTATATGCTTCATACAATTTTAGTATTTTGAAAACTACAAATTAAGCTTTTTACAATGCCAACAAAGGTGGTTTAGCATGTCTAACAAACGAAAAGAAGCTTACCTTAAACATGATTTGAATTACTAGTCCTAAAAAATTATCATGACTGTTAAAATTATGTTTTTTTTTTTGTACAAACTACTTTTATGATAGTAACTCAACTAAAAAATCTACTATACAAAAATAAAAATCAAGGCATATTTATTAGTTCGTTGAATGTTATGACTATTGAGTGGTTGTCTATGTAACAAGTCTCCATAACATTTGGTGAGGATCTCATAACTTATATGAGATTTAGGTATTGTTTTTATCATTGTTTAATAATATAATATTATATTTTTGTTTTGGTAAAAAAAATTATCTTAATATCATAAACACAATGCCAAAAGCTGAAGAAACATACTAAAGCAACACACATACTTTTCCTCAAAGGTGTTGAATCTATGAAGAAAACATTTTAAACAAGCCGATTTGAATAATATTTCGAATGAAAAGTTATTTGGAAAGTTTACGATGATGTTATCGGATCTACGTGGAAACAATAAGGGTTCATTGACTATTTGAGTCCTATCGCTATTTTTACATTAATTTTTTGAAAAAATAAATTGTAAGGTAACTAGCTGTCAATTTTATTCACTTGATCATTTTTCATAGAGATTTGTTCAATAAACTTAAATAAAGTTTTCAAAAAGTATCATTGTGACATATAATTAAAGGTTTCCTTGGTTTTGGATGATTTTTTCAACAATCAATAAACTTTGTGAGGGTATAACATTTTGCTATTGTACGCATTCAGTCATTTTTTATAGATATTTGACTAATTTATCCAAAAAACTAATTTTATACACATTTTTTTTGTATGTATTATTTTTAACAATCTATATAACTTCTTTACACTTGCTCGCCTATGTCATCTTAGATAATTATTTTTGTGCATGTTTTACTTTTCGTTAGTGTTTTTTTTTTATAAATTTGTTTTTACAAAGCCCTCCTCTAACTTTTTTTGAATTATCCGTTGTCATACACGTAAGGTTGTAAAAACTCATTTTCTATAAATATTTTTTACAAAATTATAAAAAAATTAAATTGTAAAAACTTGTCAGAAACGTAATTTTTGAAAAATGTTTTACGTTAGAAACATAATCTTTTTGAAAAAAGATATGAAACGTTATAAAAAAGTTCCACCGGCTGCGGCGAACATTCAAACAGTTGTTCCATCCTTGACATGTTGTTTGCTCTTTCCCGATTATCGAACCAACACTGTGGTGGTATCAAGACTGGGGACAATTTTAGTAATTATAAATAATAATTCTAAAAATAAAAAAATGTAAAGGGTTAATCTCAAAAAACTTTATATTCAACAAAAGGCATTTGACAGTAACTGAGCAAATGACTAAATCTGAAATAGGAACCAATGGTCTCAAAACTAAAAAACTAGGACAAAAACCGGCAATAGGAACCAATGGTCTCAAAACTAGAAAACTAGGACTAAAACCGTAATTTCGTGACAACTGAAGGGACCAAAAACTGTAACTCACTCTTAAATTCATAAACATAAATTCGTAACAAGTACAAAAGGCTACACGAATCAACTTTGATAAATTAAGGCACGCCCTGTTTCCGCTGTGATCGGAAAACCCTATAAACCCTCGAAATCTGTTTTTCAGTTTTTTACATCAACGCAAAGATGAGTACCCCGGAAACCTCGAGAGAACCATGTCCGGACAGGATCTTGGACGACATCGGTGGCGCTTTCGGCATGGGCGCCGTCGGCGGCTCCGCTTTCCACTTTCTAAAAGGAGTCTACAACTCACCAACCGGCGAACGTTTCATCGGCGGGACACAAGCCGTTCGTATGAATGCGCCACGTGTCGGTGGTAGCTTCGCCGTATGGGGTGGATTGTTCTCCTGCTTCGATTGTACCATGGTCTACGTACGCCAGAAAGAAGATCCATGGAACTCGATTATCTCCGGCGCCGCCACCGGTGGGTTCCTCCAGATGCGCCAGGGTTTAGGCCCCGCGACTCGTTCTGCTGTTTTTGGGGGTGTTCTGTTAGCTATGATTGAAGGTGCTGGAATCATGCTTAATAAGTTCCTAAGTGCACAACAGCCTCCACCGGTGATGATTGAAGAGCCACAACCACCACCTCAGAATGTGCCTCTAGGGTTTCAGTTTCCTAATCAAAGCCATCCGCCACCTGCTGAATCATCATCATCGACATCGTGGTTTGGTGGATTATTTGGTGGCAAGCAGGAGAAGCCAAATCCGAAGGTCAAAACTGAAGTTCTGGAAAGCTTTGATTCGCCAGCGCCTCCATCTTTTGAATTCAAATGAATCTGTGAGACCTTATTTTCAGTCATTTGAATAATTTTTCAATGTTATGGAGTATGTTGTAGAAATAAAAACTTGTTTCGATCAAATAATTTCATAGCATATTGAGTTTCAGTTGAAAAAGCAATCCTAAAGCAAAAACATAATTGCCAAAATCATTTCCATAGCTTTGGTATACAATTTTGCATATAGTATAAAGTCATTGGGTCTTCCACTCAATCTGTTCATGTAAGATCATGAATTGCCATGGCTTTTTGTTGTTAATTTACTTGATTTCTGTCTTTGTTTGACATCAAGTGGTTATCTTTAATGGCACCCAGATTTCTGATCTTAGATCCTATGTGGCTATGTTCTAGGCCATAGCATTATTGAATCTTTTTTGCAGCCAATTTTTATTTGATGAAGATCATTGTATATGTTTTTGTAGTAACATCAGGGGATGAGTATATAACTGATTTTTTCAATTTTGGTCTCAAAAATATAATTATTTTACTTAGAACATGTAGCAAATACCCTTTAAATTATAACATTTGAATGCAAAACCGATACCATCATTTTCTAACTTTCTTTACCATAGGCATGAATCGGAACAAATTAATTGGGTCGTGGGAGAATCATAGGGAGAAGGTTGCTTTCAAGTTTCTTTTCTTTGACTTGAAAATGTTCTATATCATGTTCATTAATATTGTAACTCTTAAATAAGATTATGGATTAAAATTTCGAAATTTGAAATTAACTAATCCTTTTATGTTAGGTAGTTGATGGTTCTTTTCTTACTTGAAAATGGTGTACATCATTTCATTTATATTGTACCTTTTAAATATGATTATGGATTAAACATTTGAATTTTGAAATTAACTCATCCTTGTACGTTATGTAACTAATCATGTTTATGGTAGAATTTTGTAATAACGTTAGTTTTTGTAATTCAATAGAAATTGTACATAATACTTAAATAAGTGTACTTTAAAAGTTTCTAAGTTTTGACCAATATGGTTTACAATAGTTATAGTTAATAAATAATAGATATTGCGGCTATGTTTCACAAACAAACTAAAAACTAAAAAAAAATGTTAGCTTGACAGCAGAAAAGTCAAGTAGCTGGTAAAAATAATATTTTGTATAATTTAGCTTATCAACTAATTGAAAAAAAATAATATAAAATGACATAGAGAGATATTAGAAAAATAATTCAATATTGTAAAACAAAATATGTAATACATGGTTTTAAGTGAATTTTCATGCATCGCAAAATTTGTAATTTTTACGGTTCCTGACATAATTATAAAATGTTATCATGATTCTCAAATGTTACATAGGTAGGTATTATGATTGTGTAACACTTAGTTTTCATGATGTTTCTAATTTCAGGATAATGAGTCGTAATTTGATTGAGTAGAGGTCTTGAACTTCAAGGTAATAAAAGTTTAGAGCTTATCGGGCATTAGATATTATGGGTTAAGTGATTTAAGTTCTTTAATTGTGTTTTAGAGCTAAATGGTAGAATGAAAAACGACATTTTGGACGTTTCGGTTAAATTCAATATTCATTAAGTCAAATGTAAGTAGATAGAAGTGTGGGGCTTGTCAATACTTTCGTATGCATATGTAAATCGTCGAAAACGGAGTTGAAACGAAGAAGTTATGACTGTTTGAAGCTGGAATGAAATTCGGTGAAACCCGTCGCCATGAGGTGGCAAGCAGGTTGCCATGAGGTGGGAGTCGTTACAAGATAGCAAGCAGATTGCCACGAGGTGGCAAGCAGGTTGCTACGAGGTGGTCGTTGTGTAGCCATAGCCCATAAATTTTTAGGGTTTTCTATGTATTTAAAGGGTGGTTCTATGTTTTTTGGGATATTTTTCTATACTTCATCATATCCAAAGCTTGTTGAGAGAAACCCTAGCCTCCCTTTCACCACTATGAGCCTCCCATCTCCTTTATCATCCATTTTTTGGAGTGTTTTGGTGGTTTTTTGGAGTGATGCTTTATGTAAGATTGATCCTTGAAGCTTAGCAATTGAAGATCTCAAGTTCCATATATCTTTTGGATCTTGGGTATGATTCAAGTTCCCATCTTTATGCTTATAAGTTGTTAGATCTAGATTCTAAGCTTGTTTCTAGTCCATTAAATGAAGATTGTGTTGTTGGATGTGATAAAGTTTGCAACTTTATCATTCCACCTTGTCACAATAGTATTTTGGTTTATGGATCTTGTCTTTCATGATCTTTTGGGCACCATGCTTGGAGTTATAATCTTATTTTGATCATTTTGACCTAGAATGGTATGGGACATACATGTCCATAAAATCATGTTTTTATGAGCCATGTGAGTACAATAAGGCCTTCTGGAAAATATGAGACCTGGACTTAACAGATTAAGGACTTAAGGACTTATGGAAAATATGAGACCTGGACTTAAGGACTTAAGGGAAAGATGGATCTGTGAGCGTAGCCACGACGTGGCCAATGCCTTGCCACAATGTGGTGGGCATTCTCATCATGTTTTTCTGGTTGACGAAGACCACGACCTGGAAAGCTATTGACACGATGTTGTGGTCCGATGAGTTGACTTTTGACCGTTAACTTTTTGACCAATTTGACTTTTGGTCAAACTTGGGCAAGACTGAGAATTTAGCTAAGGAATAGTCTTGGTTTGGCTTTAGGTAGCTCGGGTTAGATGTTCTATTGCTGAAGATGTAGTTTAGCTTCTTCTGTTTGGTTTAGGTGAGTGTTCTTACTATACTTTGTATTGTAGTATGTATCATTATGTGTAGGATGTTGGTATGCTATAGTGATTTGTTATATTGGCAAATATGTTATGATTACCTGTGTTTGTTGGTTATTGTTTATTTGTTTGCATATGTGGACATATTGTGGTTGGGTTAAGACGATCCTGCTTTGTGTTGTAGGATAAGATACTCAGGCGCTCAAGGTGTACTCCAGGTCTTGTGGGGCGGTCTAGTCAAACTGCATGCCTAAGGGGCGGTCTGGCTACTGTAGGCCTTGCGAGGCGGTCAAGTAGACTTTAGGGTCAATAAAGCAGCCTAGGCATCCTGTATGCCTTGCAAGAAAATCCAGACAGATTGAAGGCTCATGTGTGCATGCATTGTATGTGTATTGTTGTATAGGGTATTTTGAGGAACTCACTAAGCTTTAGCTTACAGTTGTGGATTAAATGTTTTTCAGATACTTATCGGATGGCGAATGCGGGAGTGTACACACGCACATCAATTGTTTTATGATTCTAGATACCGTAATGTTTTCTTTATAATTCTGATTTACGAACAAAGGTTTTGATTTGAATGTAACTTCATCAAAGCGGGTGTTTATTCTTTTTATTGGGATGTTACAGATTTATATTAGATTCAACAAAAAAAAAAATAGTAAATGGTAAATAAAAATAATTAATATGTTGTATGAGTTAATTATAATTATTGTGAAACATCAAAAGGGACAGATCCAGAAAAAACCTAACTAGAATCCATTATTGATAATATATATATATATATATATATATATATATATATATATATATATATATATATATATATATAAAAAGTATACAATTCTGAAAATTTAAACTATTTTTTGTTTCTCAGTAAAAAAATGTTAATTGGGGTAGTTAATGTAAACATGGGTGCCAAAAAGAAGTTTTTTATTTTTATTTTTTTTATTTTAAGAAAAATCAAATTTTTTAAAAGGTCTTGATACTAAATATGGTAAGATCCACTTTTAAGTTGGGTCCAGCACCCACTTAAAGTGGTTGCGTCGCCACTTACATCAAGCAATGAGTTCTTATTATAACATATTTATTTAAGTAGCAGCTTAGGAACAATAGATAATATTAAACTACCAGCTTAGGTTATCCGGAGTGGAGAGGGCTCCACGCGTGAGCTGCTTAAGTGCAGACTCTCTCCACACGTGAAACCGCCATCGGCTTTGGCGGGTTAATCGTGGTGTGGCGACAAGGACGAAAGAAGACAAAAGAATTGATCGGCTGGTCAATTTTCGAGCGTTTGACCATTTAATAAACAAAAATTATGTTTTTTTTTTTTTTTTTTTTTTTTTTTTTTTTTTTTTTTTAAATTTAATTTCTCTCCCTATATACATCCATTTTACACATATTTTTCAAAACAAAACCCACAAACTCTTTCAAATCAAACACACACATTCAACAAAAAATGGATGATGATTTTGATGAAGAGTTTGTATTGCATACACTATTGTCTGCGGCACAAGACATTATTCATGAGAGAGGCGAAAGTTCACACAACAAGAAGAAGCATAGAAAATGGATCAACCGGGATTGATGGGCGGCAAATGAACTTTTAGTATGTAATTATTTTGCCCCTGATAGTTTATATGATGTATCGAATTTTGAAGAACGTTTTCGTATTAGTAGAAATTTATTCTTACGTATAGCTAGAGATTTGGAACATAATTACGAGCTTTTCTAATTAAGATGGGATGCTAGAGATAAATGTGGTTTTAGTACAATAAAAAATGTACGGTCGCTCTTAGACAATTAGGATATGGCATAGTCGTAGACGCCTTTGATGAGTATTTGAAAATGTTTGAGAGGACGGGTCAAGACTGTACATATCTTTTTTGTGAGTATGTTATAGAGCTTTACTGTGACATATACTTGCGACATCCGAGTAAAAGTGATGTCGAACAGTTGTATGTCGTGCATCAAGCTAAACATGGTTTTCCAGGGATGTTTGTTAGTATTGATTGTACACATTGGAAGTGGGCAAATTGTCCCGATGCATGGCGTGGTCAATTCACGCGAGGTGATTATAGGGCCCTGACTGTTATATTAGAGGCAGTTGTTTCACATAACCTATGGTTTGGTATGGCAGGGTCCAACAATGACTTGAATGTGCTTCAAGCGTCTCCGTTATTAAACAATATTTTGCAGGGTAAAAGCACCATACATGTCATACGTTGTGAATGGAAATGAATATAAGTATAGATATTACCTAGGTGACGGGATATATCTAGA